GGAGTAGCAGTTGTAAATTTTGAGTAAGAAGAATAATAATAATAATAACTAGAAAAAGTTCGTCGAGACAAACTTTAAGTTGGCTTGTGAAAGTTTGGACCGCAAAGTTTGAAGAAGTTTAAATTAGTTTGAAGTTTAAATTAGTTCAAAGTAGTTTATAGTTTAACTTAGTTTAAAGTTTAAAGTAGTTTAAATTAATTTAAAGTTTAAATTAGTTTGAATTTTAAAGTAGTTTGAAGTTTAAATTAGTTTGAAAGTTAAAGTAGTTTAAAGTTTAAATAAGTTTGAATTTTAAAGTAGTTTGAAGTTTAAATTAGTTTAAAGTAGTTTAAAGTTTTAAATAGTTTAAAGTTCAAAGTAGTTTAAAGGTTAAAGTATAGTTTCAAGTAATTAAATGTTGCTAGGGTGTTTCTAGTGGGTTGCTAAGGTGTTGTGGGTGGTTGCTAGGTGGTTTCTAAGGTATTTTGAGTGGTTGCTAGGGTGTTCTGGGTGGTTGCTAGGGTGTTCTAGGGTATTTTAGGTGGTTGCTATGGTGTTGCTAGGGTGTTTTAAGGTATTTTGGGTGGTTGCTAGGGTGTTGTTAGGGTGTTCTAAGGTATTTTGGGTGGTTGCTATGGTGTTGCTAGGGTGTTCTGAGGTATTTCGGGTGGTTGCTAGGGTGTTGCTAGGGTGTTCTAAGGTATTTTTGGTGGTTGCTAGGGTGTTGCTAGGGTGTTCTAAGGTATTTTGGGTGGTTGCTATGGTGTTGCTAGGGTGTTCTAAGTTATTTTGGGTGGTTGCTAGGGTGTTCTAAGGTATTTTGGGTGGTTGCTAGGGTGTTGCTAGGGTGTTATAAGGCATTTTGGGTGGTTGCTAGGGTGTTCTAAGGCATTTTGGGTGGTTGCTAGGGTGTTGCTAGGGTGTTCTAAGGTATTTTTGGTGGTTGCTAGGGTGTTGCTAGGGTGTTCTAAGGTATTTTGGGTGGTTGCTATGGTGTTGCTAGGGTGTTCTAAGTTATTTTGGGTGGTTGCTAGGGTGTTCTAAGGCATTTTGGGTGGTTGCTAGGGTGTTGCTAGGGTGTTCTAAGGTATTTTGGGTGGTTGCTAGGGTGTTGCTAGGGTGTTCTAAGGTATTTTTGGTGGTTGCTAGGGTGTTCTGGGTGGTTGCTAGGGTGTTCTAAGGTATTTTGGGTGGTTGCTAGGGTGTTCTGGGTGGTTGCTATGGTGTTGCTATGGTGTTCTAAGGTATTTTGGGTGGTTGCTAGGGTGTTGCTAGGATGTTCTGATGTATTTCGGGTGGTTGCTAGGGTGTTGCTAGGGTGTTCTAAGGTATTTTGGGTGGTTGCTATGGTGTTGCTAGGGTGTTCTAAGGTATTTTGGGTGGTTGCTAGGGTGTTGCTAGGGTGTCATAAGGCATTTTGGGTGGTTGCTAGGGTGTTCTAAGGTATTTTGGGTGGTTGCTAGGGTGTTCTGGGTGGTTGCTAGGGTGTTTCTAAGTTATATTATGTGGTTGCTAGGGTGTTTTAAGGTATTGTGGGTGGTTGCTATGGTGTTGCTAGGGTGTTCTAAGGTATTTCAGTTGGTTTCTAGGGTGTTCTGGGTGGTTGCTATGCAGTTGCTAGAGTGTTCTGGGTGTTTGCTATGGTGAACTATTTATGAGTTTAAAAGTTCATAAGTGTATGAATTCATGAGAGTTCATACGTGTATGAATTAATGCATTTATAAGTTCATGAGTTTATAAGTGTATGAATTTATGAGTTTAGAGTTTATAAGTTTAAATGAGTAAGAGTTCAGAGTTTATTAATTTATGAGTTTGAGTTCATAAGTGTATGAATTCATGAGTTTATAAGTGTATGAGTTTATAAGTGTACGAGTTTATGAGTTTAAAGTTTAAATTAGTTTGAAGTTTAAAGTTTAAATAAGTTTGAAGTTTAAAGTTTAAATAAGTTTGAAGTTTAAATTAGTTTGAAGTTTAAAGTTTAATTTAGTTTGAAGTTTAATTTAGTTTAAAGTAGATAGATAGATGGATAAGTGTCATAGATAGATGAGTTTATTAGTTTGAATGAGTCTCATTGGCTCATATAGTGTATAGAATGGCAGTTTGATTCAGTCTAGGGTTTCAAGGGATTTACATTTGAATTTTTGACAGTTGGGGAGTTTGAAAATCTGAAGATTCCGCAATGTAAAGTCAATGGGAGTTTTTTCCGACTTTGATCGTCATTTTTAGGAAAACCGTAAGTCCGATCAGTTAGAAAAGATATAGCATACCGAGTCAGAACAGTTTGAGTGTCCGTGCCGAGTTTGGAGTATGTGGAGTTAAAGCTCTAGGAGGAGTAGCAGTTGTAAATTTTGAGTAAGAAGAATAATAATAATAATAATAATAATAAGTTTAAATACAACATCAGTAAGTTGGCTCTCACAAGCCAACTTAATAATAATAAGTTTAAATACAACATCAGTAAGTTGGCTCTCACAAGCCAACTTAATAATGACGTCAAAAATATATATATATTCACAATGTGCAACTTACTTTTTTCTCTTCAATAGCTTTAAGAAGAAAAAGCTTCTCGCAGTTTGACAACGGAGTATCCCTCATTTTGACAGCTTGAATATCACATAAACAACTCGATACACCGCTGCATCCTCTCACACGCTTCTTTTACATGTTCTTGTAAAACCCTGCGCGATGTTATGACGTAGGTGTAACATTGGCGCACGGTATATGCGTATGCACCATGGTATGCACCAGAGAAGCTTGGTGAACGACGGCTCGGTTTTAGAATTGATGAAACATAAAAACCATAGATAAAAACGCAGTCGTTCCATTTGTTTGACATTTCTTGTTCCAACAAATAAAATAAAACTGAAGATTAAATATATAATTATATAATTCACCATTGAAACTTATAAGGAGATGGAGTCAGAAATTTTTTATTTTCTTACTAGCCTATAAGAAATTTTGTAATAGCCTAACCCGATAAAGATAGTTTTTAAAAACTCCAAGGAATTCATTCAGTTTTCTGAAGCTTGCAAGAATATGAAACTAGGTGTTTGTTATAAAATGTGCTGTAAAAGGCTATAATAATTTGTTGTTGAAGTGATATTATATATCTGCTACTTGTAGCTACTTGTGGATTGGATTTTAACAGAAGAAAAAAAAAGTCCAGATCAGCAATACCTGGACCTATCAGGAACTAGTTTCAGTCGAATTTTGCCGAATTGTTGTATATTCGAATATCTTGGGGATGTTGTGCGTGAGAAACTAATATTCCTATTCTGAAATTTTGTATGGAATTGCATGGGAATCTCAATCTGTTATGTAGGCCTATCATTTTAAAATTCATTATATAGGCTATCCACTTGTGAAACTGATTCCAGTGGCTAGCAATATTTTACGTGTTTTATGGTTTTAACTGATAGCCTAGATGAATCACTTTGTTGTGAGAAACGTCACGAGGCATAGGCCTACACAAAGTTCTGTACATATGGAAAAAAAATGATTTATTAAAAATTTAAGCGTTTATTAAAAATTAGACTGATTTATTAACCAGTCCCCCCTTTCAGTGCAGCAATTTGGATCATTTGATGGGTCATAATCTCGGCAATCTGTAACAGAATAATGTGATTTATCATTTGATATCATTAGAAAGCTTTTGTTAAGCCCAAATGTGCCTGTGGCAAATTCACACGTACGCAGATGTCCCTTTTAAAAACGCTGTTAATGGTAGCCTACCAGCCGAACACGACTAATCATGGCAGCATTATTGTTCAGCTGGTGCTCTTGTGTAGGACTGTTGCTCTCATAACGTTATGATGGATGGACTGCACACTCGCCAATCTTTTGAGCAGCTCAACGTGATACTCGCTTGTTCAGCACAAAGAAAGACGCGTGGATATTTGCATCAAAACCCACTCTATCATCTCCTGTCTCTCTTCTCCACCTACATATAAACTTACACGACACAATAACTATTTGACCTAGTTCATGTCAAATGTCAGGCAAGGTTCAAACTAAGTAAGATCAAATAAATGTGAATAGCTAAAGGCCTACAAAGCCTATACAAAGAAACTTGATACAACAATTTTGGTTATGAAAAATTGCTGCATATTTTCACCAGGGTTTTTACTATAAAAGCAAACACCGCATACTGCATATGCAAAATGTTTTATTTCTGAAACATCTTACAACCTCGTTATTCTTAGTCCTTTTGAAATTTTAATTAAAGTGTGCAATATGGACTGTATAAAAAGCCTACATTGTTGTATGGGGAAAAAATCTGACCTTTTTAATATACTATTACAAATACAATAACAGCAACATTTTAATGACAAATGCACAAATATTTCTGGTAAAGGCAATATAAAAAACACCTTCAGAGGTGTGGAGCGTTCTTATTTAAATTTTAAGCTGACTAAATGAATGATAGAATAAATGAATGAATATAAATAAATAAATCGTCTATTAAATGACAAATCAATATATGTTTTGAGTTGTGTAAAAACTCTCGGGTATTATATTCACACAGTGTAATGGGAAACGGCAGAGATTTGCTTTGTAACTTTTAGGACCAATATGATCCGTTATGACTACACATGCTTTTACATTGCTTTAACTCATCAAAATAAGTTAAGCAGTTTTCAACGTATATTTCAAGTTATTACTATTTTTTAAGTCAGTTTGATGTAATTTAAGTTGAATTGAATTAGGGCCTAAACATCCAAGGTGATTTAAAATTTAATGTCAGCAAGGTTTTTTTTTTTACAATGGACATTTTATTTATGCAAAATATAGTAGAGTCTATAGTAATGGATGATTATAGGCTGCTGAATGATATGATGCAGGTGGAGGCAGAGATGATGGAGAGACATGTCAAAAGAATAATACAATGAGACCCACCGCCACGTGTCAGTAACCGACTTAATCAGCTGAATTCGGGGATAATAAAAGCCACAGAGCCCTCTCGGCTCTCGTAAGAACAGTTCGGACTGCACCAGAGATACTTCAATACTGCAATACTTATGATGGAGTACAGCTACCTAACGTCTGCATACGAGTCTGGGATGGACACTGGCCGAACTTCTATCAGCTCCTGCAGTCAGCCCTTCAGCTTTCAATATAACAGGTGCAATTTAGGTAACACAACCAGTTGCCATTTCATGGCGCCCGGTTCTCATCAACCCTCACATTACATAACAGGTTGGTCTGTGCTTTAATCATATTAATTAATTAGTAGGCCTATATTACATTAATTACGGATACTATTTGCATTTGAGATTTGACTAAGATTTAAAACTTGAAAGAGCTATAACCCTTTTAACTAGCCTACAGAAAAAAAGCATTAATACCTTTTCATATAGCCTATTTATAACATACCGTTTGGGGTTTGTAAGATTTTTATTTTTATTAATATTATTATTTAAAGAAATTAATAATTTTAAATATTTTTAGTGTAGATACAGTCCATTTACCAATTGTATAACATTTATTTTTGATTTTATTTATTTTCAATTAAAATTTAATTTAATTTACAGTTCATCGCAATCTTTTGAGTTATGAACGAGGCATCCAGGAGAGACGCAAACAAAGACGCGTCCGCACCATCTTCACCAGCACGCAGCTGAAAGCGCTCGAGCGCGTGTTCTCGCAGACTCAGTATCCAGACATCTACACGCGAGAAGAGCTCGCGCAGGAGATCCATCTTACTGAAGCTCGAGTTCAGGTATATGTTATTCTCTTCTTATCTTACGTTCCGTTTAGGCTCAGAGAGTTTAAGACCACCTCCATAGTCGTAAAACCGATTATTTAAACAAGAGTAGGGCCTAAAGCTTACCATTTTAGAGAAAAGTGGCAGTAAGTAGCCTAAGCTACAAACCAGAAAGGGGGAGAAATAAAATAATATAATTGTTTTTTTGTTTTGTTTTTCAACATGTTCAGAGGTATTATTATATGATATGGCCTATTATATAACCTCTTTTTATTTATCATAAATATCTAGTGTTGGTTGTGAATGCCTGTATGTGACACAGTGTTAGTTGTCCACAAAACACAATTAGCCTACGCTGAACCCCAGGCTTTAAAACGGTTATTAGTCTTTAGGCGAATTTAAAGTATATTTGTTAAAAAGGTTTTTTATTTTATTTTATTTTATTTAAAACGATTTTTTATTTTATTTTATTCAGGTCTGGTTCCAGAACAGACGAGCTAAATTTCGTAAACAGGAGCGTGCGGCCACATGGATTGAGTCATCATCGAAAGTGCACAGTTTGCCTTCTCATGCCAGCTCCAAAACAATGACAGTTCCTGACCCAGACAGCACACAGCCCACTCTTACCCTAACCGAAGACCAGAAACAGGACACCAGCGGTCTCAGAGAGGGCCAAGCTCCAGATGAACTGCCCTTGTTAGGCATAACTTCTCTTGAAGCACAGAGGTCAAGCGGTCACCTAACTCACTGTGCTACTACTGCGTGCATGTGTTGAGCAGCAGTAAAAGACATGATGTGCCATTTCAAACATCACTGTTTAGATCTCAGCTAGTGCCATTTCCTAACCTTATTTATGTTATTTATCGGTTAAGATCTTCTTTGATGACCAACAATGCTAAAAAAAGTTTGTAGGCCTACACATATGAGACATGCATGCTACATTTATCTTATTTTATTGCATTGAATTCATGCAGTTGGATACAAGAATCATTCTACATACTGTAATCGTTTACTGCTTTTTGTTCTAAAAGAGAGAGCTTTGCTCCAGTGATTCATAACAACTAATAGTGTGTGACAAAACTGCAAATTTCCCCCCTTAAAATGATATTCATATTATAGAATGCTGTTGCAAAATAAATCGTCACCCCATCATTATTCAGTCTTCTACTTACAGTCAAACACAAGGTGGAGGTGCATTTAAAATAGTTTATTATAGTTTATTTAAAAACATACACTTGCTATAAAAGCCATTGCATTTCAGCGTCTTGTAGGTTGTCTTACATCGCTCATTTTTAAAAGGGTATAATAAATACAGAATATGAAGTTATTTGTCACACACATCTCACTCATCCTTGGCTAATCTTTCCAGTAATTATTGCCTTACTTTAGTTCGTGTTCTTACAATGTCACAAAATAAAACAAATGATAAACAAGCAAGTCAAAACCCCCTGTATCTAAATGATGATGTGTTTTAATCAAATTTCAAATATTAACAGAAAGCAAAAGAAGAAGTTATAAAAGCAGGGATTATATACTATTTTTGCTGAATACAATCGGTAGTTGTTGTATTTGATATTTTGGTGACATTCAACAGAATATGAAATCCTTGCCAGCTGATTTAGATGAATATAAATATGGATATTTAACAATTTGACATCTCTACATGGACATGAAAAGCTTACAAAGGGTGTGCTTTTCATTTTTTAATCTCTTGCTTGCACATTCATAGTGTTTGAATAAAGTACAAGGGTAAAAGCAGAGTGCTCAGTGCATATGCATAATACTCTCACCAATACACATTGGTAACTTGAAGCTTTGGATGCAAGGGTGGCCGACACATTATCTGGATTGCATTTCTAAGGCACAACATTGCAGAAGAGAGAAAGGCAACAGAACACAAAACCGATTTTAACGGAACATTTTTAAAAGCTAAAAAAGGGTTACACTTTACATTACAGTGCTTCAGTTATTACATAAAATGTTTGATTATAGAGCTGCTTTGCACACTGTTAATGTTATTACTTCAGTAATTCATTTTAGTAGCATGTTATGTATTGGCATTGTAATGTAAAGCGCCACCAAGGAAAGTTACTGGGATCATGCAATTGTCTTACCATTCAAATGCAGAGCAAAACGTAAATATTAATAACATAAAGTTGGAAAAAGAATCAAATGGAAATGCTAGCAACATGCTGTCTACATGGGTTGTTAAACAATACTGCACAAATAAAGTATCAAACTTATCAAACAGGATAAAACAGGCAATGCAAAATGGAGGAAGGAACATTTCAATCAAATCCACTCCAGTTCATGAAGACATGAAGAAGGTTTTTTCAAACCAAAAATAAACAATTTTATCAGTATTCATTTCACGTTGTCAGTTAAGGCATCAGGACAAATCAGCTAGGCCTAAGAGTCGCACATCATGCGTTCGTCAACAACAGTTGCCTAACATTTATTAATAATGTGAGAGACCTGCAAGACCATTACAAAAACTGAGATTATTTTTTATTAATAAAATAACAGATGCAAAATTTTCTGGACGTTTGTGCTACCTAACAATAGAAATGGACTCAGTCACACTATACATTACAGTGGCCATGTTACAGTGTATTTAAAGAACAACATGTAAACATGTTTTTAATTCCATGACATTATTGTACACTAAATAAGTACAACCTCGTTTCCAGGAAAGTTCAGACATTTTGAAAAATGCAATAAAATCAAGAATCTGTGATTTGTTAATTTTTACATTGGAAGATTTCCAATGTTTTCACTGACCAATTAATTGTATTTTCTAAATATAAACCCATTTTGAAGTTGATGGCTGCAACACACTCCAAAAAAAGTTCAACTGTTTTGCAACAGTCCACAATAAGCAAGTGAATTGGTACTAGATGAGGGTATCATGATTGGGAATAATAGTACAATCCACCAAAGGCTCAGTCTTTATGAATAAATATGGGTCATGGCTCACCACTCTGTGCCAAATTTCATGAGAAAATTGCCAAACAATTCAAAAATCACATTTCTCAATGCAAGATTGCAAAGAATTCAGGTCTTTCACCATTTACCATACATAATATTGTGAAAAGATTCAGGGAATCCAGAGAAATCTCAGTCATCGTCGGGCAGGGCAGGAAACCTGACGACCACTGAGCAGCTGGACAGTATCAGGTAAGATTGGGCAAAAATTTCACTTTGCAACAATTAGTATCCTTAATTCCCAAACTATTTAAAAGTGTAATTAAAAGGAAAGGTGATGTGACAGTGGAAAACATGCCTCTGTCCCCGACTTTTTGTTGCAGCCATCAAAATCAAAATGTGTTTATATTTACGAAATACTGGTCAAGTGAAAACATTGGAAATCTTTTCTTTATACTTTTGTCAGTTACGTAAAGGTTAAAGATAAAATGTCCCAGCTTTTCCTGAAATGGGTTTGTATTTGGGTTAACGGCACAGGCATTTGACATGATCTCTCTCCCCCATTAAGTACTGAGGTTTGTTACTGATGCATTTAAAGCACGTCTGCATTTGCGTAAGGTATGTTTCTGGCCTCATTGCTATTGAACTGTGTGTAACATGGCCACTGTGAGGTAAAGTTCCACCAGTACTCATTCGAAAGTGTAAAACTAACAGTATTAACAGACTCGCTGTAATATATTTTTTAAACTCTTTATCATGTCATATAAGCACAAAAACAGTCAAAGTCCAGAGGAAAACCCATCATGCGTTCATGATTCCAGTTCTGATGTTGATGTATATGTGCTTTGATTGTGCTGTAAGGAAAATAGTTGGAAATGTTGTAGAAACATAAAATCCGTTCTTCTTGGGTCTGGTCCTGGCTTGGTTTAACCTGATTCCGGTTCCATTTCCTTGTCAGAAGTGCAGAGGCCTCACAATGTTGTCGGCTGGCCAGCAGCTGCAAGGAAGAAGGAGCGCATTAAAACTTGCCTAAAAATTGTATTGTACCGTTTTAACCTTGTCCCAGACCCAAGGGGACCTTAAAGAAGAAAAAAATAAATCATAAAAATATTTTTACATTGAAAAAACTATGATAATCTAAAAAGATGAAGCAATCATAACCAAATACATAAACAATTACACAAATTATAAATGTCCCTCGGTTTCCATCACAAACACTTTTTTTACTACTAAAAAAGGTTATAAAATAAATAAATAAATGAATAATTAACAAACAGAGAACTACCAAGGAGAGAATGTCAATGAGGAGATTGATATAAAATATGGGATATGTGATGTATTAAAAAAACTGAATTATTTGTATTGTGCATAATTTCCAGTCAAACTGTCAAATTATGTAAAAAGTGTGAAAATATTATAATTAGATATATTAGATAAATTACATATGTAATTATATTATAAAAATGTAATTTTACTTGTTTTACTTGTTTATTATTTAGGATACATACAATTTTAGTTTATTCTGTTCAAAAATCATTCATTACAGAATGCTATTAAACACTGTACATCATTTGAATCGTGGTTTGTCAGAAAATGAAAACCTCTTATGTGATTTAAATATATTGACAAATATATTGAGATTATTTTCTAAAATTATTCAAATTAATTAAAAGCTAATGGTTTTTAGAACATGTTTTTGATCACAGATTATCTTACAAAATGCAAAAAAACTACAATCACAATAACCTGCACATTTAGGATCACGCACATTGACTCACCCCTTGATTTTATGTAGCATTCTTGACAATTAAGAAGTCCATTTCGAATTCGGACGTCAGTCCCAGCACTTGTGTCGCCAAGTAACCCTTTACACACGCCACACTAGAACACATCAGATATTCATATAAGAAGACGTAGACGTTACTCACGTATACACAGAGACTAACACAAACGAGAATTACCTTAAAACACTGAATATGAAAGTACAGCCCCAAGGTTTCAATGATCATAGCTGCTCCTTTACCCAACGGATGTGCACAGCTGGAGCAAAGTTTCTTTCCACTTACTGACCTGCAGAGGGCGCCACACAAAGCCACATATTATTGAGTGAGTCTCAATCAGTTCCCTAGCGTCCCTAGGGTGTGAGAGGCTGCGTCTGAAATCGCATACTCTTTTGAGTAGGTACTTATTTTGACTAAGTAATTACAGTGCTTAGCATAAGTGAACACACCCATGCTAAAGTTGACTAAAAGGAGGAATAAAAAAATCATCTTTTGGAAATTGATCTTAATAACTTAATTAAAAAAATGAGGAAAACTCCAACCTTTAAGTACACCAATTTTCTTTATGGAAGAATAATGTATCGTAAATAAATAAATGTTCTTCCTTAAAATACAGGGTGCATAAGTCAGGACACCCCTTTGTTAAATTCCCATAGAGGCAAGCTGATTTTTATTTTTAAAGGAAAGTTATTTCATGGATCCAGGATACTATGCATCCTGATAAAGTTCACTTGGCCTTTGGAATTAAAATAGCCCCACATCATCACACACCCTTCACCATACCTAGAGATTGGCATGGTTTTATTTCAGTTAGCCTAATAGCTGTATTGATCTGCATTGAGATATGATCTTATGGAAAGTACCCCATGCCAATCTCTAGGTATGGTGAAGGGTATGTGAGGATGTGGGGCTATTTTAATTCCAAAGGCCAAGGGAACTTTATCAGGATGCATAGTATCCTGGATCCATGAAATAACTGCATTGTGGGACTTTTTAGGTGCACTGGAAGGATTTTGCTGAACTAGAGCTGATTGAGACACACCCATTGTAAAACTTTGACACTGACTTCTTGAAATAACAACAGTTACAATATCGGTAACACTTTACAATAAGGTTTCATTTGTTAACATTAGTTAACATGAACAATGAAAAACACTTCTAAATCATGTATTAATCTTAGTTTCAACATTTAATTTGAACATTTACTAATACATTATTCAAAACAAAAGTATGTTAATATTATTCAATGGACATGAGCTAACATGAACTAACAATGAACAGTTGTATTTATATTAACTAACATTAACATACTGCAACAAATGTATTGCTCATTGTTAGTTAATGTTAGTTAATGCATTAACTAATGTTAACTAACGGGACCTTATTGTAAAGTGTTACGGTGCGTTCACGCCACGCCGTAATTACGAGATTTCAACTTGTAAAGAGTGTTCACTTCCTTGTACCACGTGACCGCTGCAGATTCATTTAGGCATTGATCATTTTTCCATAGAAACGCATCATTCCCAGCCCGAGGACGTGAACAGCTCCGAGTAGAACGTTGCGTGTTGTCATCTCGAAATTACGGTAATTACAACATGCCGTGAATGCAGCTTTACCATATCTGTGTAACTATAAATAGTATAAATAGGTTTATGCACAGTGGGGACCAAAAGTCTTAAAAGACCATTATTGTCTATTTTAATAAAACTGTTTTCAATAAAAATTCTTTTTTTTTTTTTTTTTTTTTTTAATCCTGAAACTTTATTTGCAGATTTAAATGATTTTAAGAAACAACAACGATATGGTCCCACAGTTTTGGACCCCTAAAATATATACTTTAAAGTGGTAACAAAAGCAAAATGCAATGCAAATATGCAATTTAAATGAATGGGATTGTGTGCACATAAGCACTTGGCATGATTATGTAACTCCTGAAATGAAAGCATTTGATATGCCTTATACGTATGGTGACCATACACCAAATTGAAACTAATACTTTTGCATTTTAAGAAGATACATTAAATCTTATAGTCCAGTTCAACGGCATGACCCAGTCACTGTTTCTGGCTGAAGCGCACAAATGCATTTAAAGCCTATTCCTGAAACGCTCCACATACACACACGCATATGCGATCGAGTATGTGTTGGAGGGAAGGCTCGTACCTGCTGGGTGATGGAGGTGGCGTGTCTTGTGATGGTGTGGGTGATTTTGATGGGTGTGTCCCTAAAACATTTTCACACGACCCAGTCCTGCCATCAGCCATACACACACACACACACACACACACACACACACGCGCGCATAGAGACACAGAACTGTGAAAGCAAGTCATATGCAGAAATGTGTCATGTGCCAGAAAAAAAACGAAAAAAAAAAAAATTCATACTGATCTGATCTTTTAAACATCCTTCACTCATAGCAAAGCCAAGCAGCATTTTAGCACACATGTGTGTAAGCAAGCCAGCATGCATCCCCAAACACACACACCTCCTCATCCCCGTGGTCTGGCTCTGGGGTGGACTCTGTTTGCGATCAAGTGAGGCAGTTTTCTTCAAATCCTCTTGCCCACCTTTAGACTTACAGCTCCAAGAGCCATCTGTAATAACACAGAAAAAAGTGTGTCTGCTAATTTGCTGGTTTAATTGAATATGCATTGTGATTTATATAATAGAAATATTATTGTGGCAGATGAGTAAGGCATTAAAAAAAGATGTTCTTCCATTAGGTCTGGGCTATTTTTATTATTTAATGATTTCTCAAATGTTGATATAAGATATTTGGCTGTTTCTAAAAACCTTTTGTCAAAAGCAGTGTGGTGTAACCAACATGCAGGAAGAAATTGTGACAAGAAATCAATAGACGATCCCTTTTAGATGTGTCAAGGTCGTTAATTTTTGTTTTAAAACAATATCAGATATTTTTTATGAAAGCTTTGTTCGGGTCAAATGTAGTAACCCTAAGAAAACCACTTGATATTCATGACTCAAAAAAGTATATTTTATAAAACATAATATAACATATGTAGTGTTACAATAATAATAATTTATTACAATAATAATAATTTATAATAAAACAACAATAATATTTTTGATTATTACAATTATTTTAAATAATATATTTGTTAAAAATGCAAAAGGCAAGCTTTCTTGCTCTGCCTTCCCACATTATGCACTGCGCAGGTGTGGCAATATAATTACTAATCTCCTCAACCACCAATGTGAAGCATCCACATTTTTAGTGTGTTTTTTGTAGAAACATCTTTTTTCTTCAAAAATGAATAAAACCAACAAACATCACATTTAACTAGATTTTCAAAAGATTTGACCCAGATTGACCCAAGGCTAGTGTGTGTATCTTACCTTGTATAAACTGCAGTTGTGGTGTAGCTGTTTGGCTCTCCTGAGGTTCAATCCTCTGACCATTCTGCTGAGCTGGTGCGATTACTTGATCAGGGCTAGAGAGGTTAAATTGAACATTGAAAAACCATTTGACATTGTCAACATTTGAATTTGTATTTTTTTGTTACAACTTTTCCAATGACACATCAAAGCCAGCTCAATATGGCACAATGACACTGAATTAAATTACGTTGAATTTTAGATTATTATTTTTTTTTGCGGGCAGGTTACCGTAGTCACATAGTCAATCACATTATCACTCTGCTCAGTGGAAACGCAAGCCATTCTGAGAGAGATTCGCAGATCGCCTGGCTGAATACCAGCATCAGCACTGTTTCGGTGGAAAAGGTATATGGATTTTGCATATATTCCACCTGTGTGTCAGTCTGTTACTCTGGTTCGTCTGTGCCTGTTTCTCCAGCATTTCCTGTTTCTTCTCCCAGTCAGCCAAGGAGAGGACAATAGTGTCCTGTGGGACTGAGGGCTGGGTGAGGGACGGAGCCTCGGTCACGATACCGGATGATAAAAGTGAGGTGCGAGGGGTCAGTGGGGTCACAGTTTCCTCCAGTATCCGCCTCTCCTATTATAGATTAAGAACTAATTAGTCGTCATTAAGAATCGTCATTAGTCGTTCATGTAAAACAATTTGAAGACACACCTCTTCATGGTGTCTCCTCTCCTCCTCTTCCACCTCTCTCTGCGCTCTCTCCCACTCCTCCTTCAGTTTCTCCTGCTCTCTCTGATATTTCTCCTACAGAGAAAGAAAAGAGGGATTAAAGAAAGAAATATTTCACACCAAAAGATTAATTTGTGCAACTTTCTTTTTTCCAAGGAACACAAAAGAACACATTTTGAAGAATGAGCTGGTCGCTCTTTTCCTTGCAATAACAATGAATAACAATATTTATAAACGCTTTGTTCTGGTCTAATGGAGGAACTCGGTAACTCTGTATTTTACAGTATCCGTGTTACACATCTTACATATACTAGTAATAACAGTAAATTAGGCATAGTTACAAGCAACTAACCCTAATTATACAGTAAGCACATTTTGCTAATTAATATTACTCAGTACATATATATTTAAATTAAACTAACAAAAGCACATTAAAATAAAGTGTAACCAGGAACTCTAAGAAAAACTGGGAAAACTAAGAATTTTTTTTTTTTTTATGTTTTTGAAAAATGTCTCATGCTTCCAAGGCTACATTTATTAGATCAAAAATACAGTGAAAACAGTAATATTGTAAAATATTATTGTTATTTAAAATAACTGTTTAATATATATTTGTAACGTGTACGCTCTGTTTTGGTTTAGTTTGTGTTTTGGTTCTGTTTTCCCTGTTCCTGTTTGCCCTGTCATTGTAGGTTGACCTAGTTTGCTAGTGAGTGCCAGTTTATTCCCTTAGTTACTGATTACGTTCACTGTTCCCTCATTTACCTCTGTGTATTTAAGCCCTCAGTTTCCTTTGTTCAGTTGTTCTGTTTTCACGTTTCTTATGTTCTATGTTAAAAAAATGTTTACTGCTTCCTTAGATCCTGCGTTCAACTTTATTTGCAACCCGTCGGTAAAATCATTACATATATGTTAATGGCAAAGCTGAATTCATTACTGCGTTATTCAGTGTCACATGATCCTCCAGAAATACTTCTAATATGTTAATTTGGTGCTCCAAATTTGTTTTTGTTTTATCTCAGTTGAAAACCGATGTGCTGCTTAATATTTTTGTGGAAACTTTTTCAGGATTCTTTGATGAATAGAAAGTTCAAAAGAACAGTATTTGAAATTAATTTTTTGTAATAATGTAAAAGCCTTTCGTGTCACTTTTCGTATGAAACACACAAGTGATTTCTTCGAAATTTGTTCCTCAAATTTTCTTTTATCTTCGTCTTTTTAAATTTGTCCTTTCATATTCCACAGAAGTAAAGAAGTCATACAAGTTTGGGTCCGGTTATAGAGGAAGTCAACAAACGGTGTGATAATGATAAATTGGAGAAAAGAGAGGACAGATAGGAAAATCTCATGCGGACCAGAATACTGACACCTACACCAATAACAGTTTTGTGGTGCGCACTTCTCTCAGACAAACCCCAAGCTGGCTATTGTATACCTGCAGTAGGCGTTCCTGCTCCTGTTGCCATCTCTCCTGCCGTCTACGCTCTTCATTAGGATCCCACGTCCAGTGATCAACCCTTTTTGCAAGATTCAGCATTGGGGTTTCAATCTGATTCACGCACACACACATACAGAAGAAGAAAGGAAGAAAAGGAAAGGAAAGGAATGTAAGAAGACAGGGTGCACCTACACTGTATCAACAGTTATAAGCATGAGCACTTGAAAGTTGGTCTGAGACGCTGAAACACAACACCAGTGAGAAGCAATGCAACGGGAAAAGACATAAAACACAATCTGCTCCCCTCAAGCCATCTTGAGTACTCTAGCAGCCTAAATGACTAAAATGCACATCCAATGAGTGGCTACCAAGGGAAAAAAAGACTGAAAAGAGGTGCAAGAAGAGGAAATAAGTAGAGATTTTGGAAGAATAGGTGAGTTTGGCACGACTGAAGTACTTACACATTCAGTTGAGTAGTCAATCCCCTCTGTGGAGGAAAGGGGAGGGAAACAGAGGCTTTAGAAACTCATCATATACTCAATTATATCGTCTTACGCTAATGAAAGCGATAGCACCACAGGAGTTTAAACTGGTGCACAGATACACAGAGCATAAAACACTAAAATGACACAAACAAAGAGATAGACGGAAAGTGTTGAGGCATAATGGCTCTGTTAACACCCGATACTCACATCCATCTCATGGTCCTCTTTCAAGACAGATCCCTGTTTACACTTATTACATTATTATTATTTACATGCACCTCGAATGCACCTCCTGTTTCCACTTATGATTTTAAGGGTATCAGATTTTGTGGCTACTTCACACTACAAATGCAGTTTGGTCAAGTCACACTGTGTATTTGACCACTTTTGATCACAGATTGTGATTCTATCACCTGAGATGGATATGAATACTAGGTATACATGGGGCCAAAACAAGAAGGGTGTATTCTCTGAGATTTGTTAAAATACAGACATGAAAACAACAGTAAAAGCAATATAAAACAGAACATCCTAAGTTCTACATAATTCATTTCTGAGCATGACTGCGCAATGATCAGATTAAATAAATCTATGATATGCCCATGGAGTGCTAACATACACTCACCGGCCACTTTATTAGGTACACCTGTCCAACTGCTCGTTAACACTTAATTTCTAAGCAGCCAATCACATGGCGGCAACTCAGTGCATTTAGGCATGTAGACATGGTCAAGACAATCTCCTGCAGTTCAAACCGAGCATCAGTATGGGGAAGAAAGTTGATTTGAGTGACTTTGAACGTGGCATGATTGTTGGTGCCAGAAGGGCTGGTCTGAGTATTTCAGAAACTGCTAATCTACTGGGATTTTCACGCACAACCATCTCTAGGGTTTACAGAGAATGGTCCGAAAAAGAAAAAACATCCAGTGAGCGGCAGTTCTGTGGGCGGAAATGCCTTGTTGATGCCAGAGGTCAGAGGAGAATGGCCAGACTGGTTCGAGCTGATAGAAGGGCAACAGTGACTGAAATAACCACTCGTTACAACCGAGGTATGCAGCAAAGCATTTGTGAAGCCACAACACGCACAACCTTGAGGCGGATGGGCTACAACAGCAGAAGACTCCACCGGGTACCACTCATCTCCACTACAAATAGGAAAAAGAGGCTACAATTTGCAAGAGCTCACCAAAATTGAACAGTTGAAGACTGGAAAAATGTTGCCTGGTCTGATGAGTCTCGATTTCTGTTGAGACATTCAGATGTTAGAGTCAGAATTTGGCGTAAACAGAATGAGAACATGGAACCATCATGCCTTGTTACCACTGTGCAGGCTGGTGGTGGTGGTGTAATGGTGTGGGGGATGTTTTCCTGGCACACTTTAGGCCCCTTAGTGCCAATTGGGCATCGTTTAAATGCCACGGCCTACCTGAGCATTGTTTCTGACCATGTCCATTCCTTTATGGCCACCATGTACCCATCCTCTGATGGCTACTTCCACCATGTCACAAAGCTCTAATCATTTCAAATTGGTTTCTTGAACATGACAATGAGTTCACTGTACTAAAATGGCCTCCACAGTCACCAGATCTCAACCCAAAAGAGCATCTTTGGGATGTGGTGGAACGGGAGATTCGCATCATGGATGTGCAGCCGACAAATCTGCGGCAACTGTGTGATGCCATCATGTCAATATGGACCAAACTCCCTGAGGAATGCTTCCAGCACCTTGTTGAATCTATGCCACGAAGAATTGAGGCAGTTCTGAAGGCAAAAGGGGGTCCAACCCGTTACTAGCATGGGGTACCTAATAAAGTGGCCGGTGAGTGTATGTCCATGCTACTGATGCCTGATGAGGACAAAATGACGCACACATCTATGTTTAGAAGGAAAGGTCTTTAGTTGAGTGAGTGAGTAGAGTGGGTAAACTCAATCACCTCAGTTTACACCTCAATAAGAAATGGCAAGACTTTTGTCATGTGACTATACTAGTAAATAATATATACTATATACTGGTAAATCAAAGTCAAAGGAAATTTTCTACATCTCTACAATGTTCTACATTCTGCAAGTGAAATACATTTAATGTCAAAGCAAAAATATATATCCTACATATTGGTACATTTTCAGTGCATAACTTTTATTTGTAATAATATAATATAATATAATATAATATAATATAATAATCAAAAGCTTAGGGTCGGTAAGATTTTTTAAATATGATTTGAAGAACTCTTTTATACACACCAAGCCGGCATTTAACACAGTAAAATGTGTTACAGTAATCACAGTAAAATCAGTAATAGTGTGAAATATTTTTTACAATATAACATATAACTGATATTAAAATGTAATTTATTCCTGTGATGGCAAAGCTGAATCGTCAGCATAATTTCTCCAGTCTTCATATGCTGATTTGGTGCTCAAGAAACTATTTTTATTATCAATGTTGAAAACAGTTGTGCTGTTTAATATTTGTGTGGAAAGTGGAAACTATGATACATGTTTCTTTGATGAATAGAAAGTTACAAAAGAACTGCATTTATGTTAAATATCATTTTTTGGAACAAATAGTCTTTACTGTCAGTTTTTATCAATTTAATGTGTCTTTGCTGAATTAAATTTAATAATTTATTTCCACAAAAAAAAAAAGAAGTTTTATTTGAAGGTTACGTATAGTTACTACATGTATTTACTATAGTAATAACAGTAAATTATGCATAATTTACAAGTAACTAACCCTTTACCAAACCCTAACTGTAACTCTATAGTAAGTACGTGTAGTTAATTAATATTACTTAGTACTTATTTGAGTAAGTACAATGTAACTATGTCACCTTAAAATAAAGTGTAACCAAACTTCCCAGACAGCAACATTGTGTCCGCCCAGATTCGGCTCACATCTGGTACGTGTTGAATCCACGTGTACAAGATGTGGGCCGGATCTGGGCCGACACTATGTTGCTGTCTGGGTTACTGACCCCAAACTTTTGAACGGTAGTGTGTAATATATGTTTCACATCTGTCTCCTTTGTCCTTAACTATAGGACAAATTAAGTTAAAGTGGCACTGTTTACCCCACTTTCCTCTACATTTAAATACAGTTTAAAAAGTATTGCCTCACAGTGCCCTCAGCAGACAAGCGTTTACTCTACAATGCACCTCCACAGGAGAAGTCAAAGGAGGTTGACAGACGAGAGATGATGCAGATGGATTATCTGCTGTTCATGGAGAAGGAAGCCCTGTGCCATTAGCTCATCTATCAGTTTTACCTGTTGGAGCGAAGAACTCCCAGCGTAACCTAGAGCTACTAGAGGTATGTGAGGACTCTAACAGACCCACACGCACATCAAATGATACCAGCCAGAAAAGATGGATAGTCAATGAAAGAGACAAAAAGCAAGAGAAAAAGATCGAAAAAGATAAACCAGAAAGAAAGGTAACCCAAAAGAAGATTCAGTGGAGGTAAATGGAGGACTAAAAAGTGGGAAAGTTGGAGTAAGGATTAATTTGTTCATCACATTATGAGAGATTAAGGACGTGGCAAGTGGAGTTGTATTACCTGTCAGTGAGAGTGAGTATGAAGTCTGGTCAGCCTTGCTGGTCTCGGCAGTTGAGCTCAAATCACATGAATTATGGACTGAACCAAGCTGATGGGAATGAAAGGAAATCATTAAAGATTCTCGTGTTTTTCACAAAGTCAATGGAAATAAAAGCAGGTTTCCAATCAGTATATAGTATACAGTAGCACATTCACCCTATTCATCAAGGTATGATATGCAAAAAAATAAACCCTAACAGGGTGACCAGGACCCCATCCTGAACTAAATTTGTGTCTATTTTGTGAAAATGACCAGCTGACTATACATTATCCTGGTTATTACATGGCAACTTGTAATTTTAAATATTGGTTTATTTATTATTTATTTGGAATTATTTTATTACTTGTGAAGACATAAAACTAGTGCAGCTATATTGGAAATTAAACAGTTTAGAAGTCGTGAATGCAACTACTGACCAATCAGAAGTATCAAAGTTTAAAGATGCACCAAACAGAAGTCTCCTGAACAAGATCCGGTCTAGTCCCCAACTAATCATTTACTTTCCGCCAACTTTAGGCTTTATATTTAGGAATCAGTGGATGTGTTTCAAAAACCATTGAACTTTTATTAAAAAGTGAAAAGAGCGAAATCAAGGCCCACCTGCTCTGTGCAGGACGTGTCATTTGGTGGGATTTGGTGTGTCTGGGTGAGTTCTGTCACTATGGTTGTTGTGACAACACAGCTGAGCTTCATCATTGTGTCTGGCACTGGCTGCTTTCCTGATAAAATAGGAAACTATAAGTTAATATAAAAATGATTCAGTATATACCTTTCCTTTAAAGGGGTCACACATCATATTACTTTATATGTGCTTGATTAGAAGTTTGCATGTAAACACACTTAGTGTAAAGTTGCTGAACACAATTGGCATTGTTGATGTGAAATGTGAGCAGTCAAGCATCAATGTATTAATCTAGCTGACATCAGAAAGTTACGAAAGTTGGAACTACTTAAAGAGATAGTCCACCTAAATTCTGTTATTATTTACTCACCCTTTTGTCGCTCTGAACGTGTATGCATTTTTTTTTTATTCTGTGGATAACAAAAGATATTTTGAAGAACATTGGGACCCTAACAACATTGGAGCCCATTGACTTCCATTGTATGGACAAAAAAGACATTTCTCAAAACAGAAGAACAATTAGTCATACAGTGTACAGTGGGTGAGTAAATGATGACAGAATTTTCATTTTTGCGGTGAACTATCACTTTAATTTCAATAAATTTACTTTTTGGACCGGAGATGAAGTTTATTTCGCATTATATTACCCCTAAAAAAATGAAAACTTTGGATAATATTATATTCTTCTACCTGCTGGTTCTGACAACGATAGTGCGGTTGAGTTGTCTTCTTTGATATTCTCTTCTTGAGAAATAAGAGAACATTCCTTTTCCATCTTTACAACTTCTTTCTCTTGTTCAGGAATGGAAGTCTGTAAGTTTTGCTGGTGGTCTGAGGCTTCTAACACAATGAGCTCCTCATTTTGTAGACTTTGAGTGGCTGGCTTTGGAGGTGAGGGAGAGAAGTTGATAGGACGATGCATGGAATTTCTATCGTCCCTCTCTCTGCTCTCCTGCTGAGTGCTCTCACCATTCACACGTATCAGCCCATCACTCTGTATTAAAAACAAAGAACACACATTTATTCAAGCTAATTATGTACCCAAAAATGAGAGATTATTTACTCACCTTCATGTCATTCTTGTATGGAACACAAAAGGAGTCTAGCAAAATGTCTAGGTTGGTATTTTTCATACACAGGAAGCGAATGGTAACCTCGACTGTTCCCATTCGCTTTCATGATATGGAAGAAAGCAACATTCTGATAGATAACTTCTGTTGTGTTTTACGCAAGAAAGAAAGCCATACAGGTTTTGAACAACAAGAGGGTGAGTAATTTTTGGGTGAACTATCCCAAGAAAACATGGTCTCATTAGGTTTCAAACTGGGGTCTGGGGACCACATAAAATTTGAGGCGAAGAAAGTATTTTGTTTTTCTAATTAATTTATTTTTTAATAATTCTGCTTTGGCTTCATGTGTAGTAATGATATTTTCAAAGATACAGTATATTCATTAAAAGCCAACTATTTAATTTATATATATAATATACCTTTTCTCATATTGTTTAAATGGGTCTATAGCTGTCTTTATATTTCCGTAAGAGTGTATTTTCCAGGGAAATTATCATATTTGCGTGTCCTTGGTATCCAAAAGTTTGAAAATCCCAATATTGTCCTACCTTACCTAGTTCATTTTTAAATGAATTGGTTATTGAGCTTAATGTCCAGGATAAAATATCCTTGCCTTTATTGATTTGCGGAGGCCTTGGCTGAATTTTGGCTGGCTGTAGGGTTTTGGGGTGATGAGGGGTACAGGCTTTGATGGAGCAGGAGGAACTCGCGTGGGTGCTGACAGGACTTCTGGAGCTTTGATGGACTTGCCAGGTGATGGTTCAGTGGTTTTGGGCAGCGCCGGTGCCTGTTTTTGTGCAGTCTTCTGGTCTACATGGATCACAGGGTGTGTTTGGGTAGTTTGTGCAGGCTCTGGAACCTTTGCTTCTACTAGGGCGGTGCATGTTGGCTTCTTCTCAGGCTGATGGAGAGGTGACATGTGCATGGGTGAGGCAGCAGAAGGCAGTTTGGGGAGCTGGAGTTTCTCCAATATGGCATCGCTGATGGTGAAACGGAGAGCATAACGTTGAAGCACAGCAGCTTTCTCTTCTGGAGTGGAGGCTTTACAATATTGTTCATGTAGTTCCTGCTCCCTACGCTCTCTGAAAGAGAGAGAGAGAGTGATATCAATAGAATGTCAATTGCATATTAGAGTGTCTGCGACAAAGAAAACTAAAAATCTTACTTTAAGACACATGTGCAAAGTTCTTAGAAATGTACTAAAAGTAAAAAGTAATAACACATTTTCCAATAACAAAATATATTCCATTTTAATATATTTTAAAATGTAATTCATTCATGTGATGGTAAAGCTGAATAGCATCAATTTTACTCCAGTCTTCAGTGTCACATGATCCTTCATAAATAATTATAATATGCTGATTTGGTGCTTTTCTTATAATTATCAATATTTAAAACATTTTTGTTAATTGATATTTTTGTGGAAAATGTGATACATCTTTTCAGGATTCTTTGATTAATATAAAGTTCAAAAGAACAGCATTTATTTGAAATATACTTTTTTGTTACAGTGTAAAAGTCTTTACGGTCCCTTTTTGAATACAAATATTTATTTATATTTATTCTTATCTTACTGATACCGGCAGTGCACTTTTCAGTAATTTCCTTTTTTGACATCTCTGATATCTAAATGAATTTAAATACAAAGATTAAAAACATGCTCGTTCTAGGAGGTGGAATCTATTCAACAATGACTTGATTGTATTTTTAACACATTAATAAATCAGACAAAAAAAAAAGTCAATGCCTCATGTCATTGACCCTAAGGCAGTCCTGATAAATTCTAAAACACAAATTCACTAAACAGTTGCCTTGTCACTGTACTTCAATGCCAAAACGTGCATCAATCTAAATCTACAGGGTGTAAAGATTTCAAATTGTCTCACTTCTCTTCTACTATTTCTTTGTATGTTTTGATGCTCTTTCTGCGATAGGCGGATCCTCCATCCGTTGTCATTAGTTTCTCCATCATCTTCCTCTCCTCTTCCTTTTTGATCAGATCTTGAGAAGCACTTCGTCTCCGACTCTTCCAGCGAGCCAAATCCTACACACAGAAGCCAGAAAACGTACATGTATACACTTGTGAGCTTGTTAAATATGTGTTTGTGTGTGGGTTTGTACTGTATGACTCACGTCCTGCCACTGGTCCTCCTCCTCTTTGAGTTTATTGTACTGGTTGTGTAGGTGCTCATGCCGTGATTGGCTGTGCGCCCGAAGGTAGGCAAGCTCATCCTCTTCATCACGCATGTCAATCAAACTCACACTCCTTTGAATAACAAACAAAAACAAAGGCACATTTATAAGTGCTGTAATGCTTTTAGATGAAGAAAAACGAAATTAAAGTCAGATCCAAAATAATATTATCTCTTCCTCTGAGACCTGAAGGCACAAAGACAGGAAATTCTTGATAAAAGATATGAAATGTCAGTATGATGTTAATTAGGAATGATGTAGAAGAAATGTGAGTAGAAGAACAACATATGGTTATCAGGACCATGTACAATACAAACAGAACAACTACGGGAAATGTAGATCTACATCTACATATATGACAATTACATTTTTTTTTATTGTTCAAGAAACAATCATGTTGTTCAAAACCCATATTATCATAATACCATTTAATAAACTATTGAACTACTAATTTTCTTTTCCGATATATACAGGTGTACATACTGTATATATAACCAATCTTTTGGTTGTAATTGGTTATATATATATATATATATAGACTACGACTTATTTTATGAAGCCATACAATAGCTTTATGTAAGAAACAGACAGAAATCTGAGGAACTTGAGAACTGAAAGCTTGAAACGTCCAATTTATTATAAATGCGTGCATGAAAAAGAGTGACTACATTCTCATTTTTCCCCCTCATCTAGTCATATAGATTTAGAACAACATGAAGGCGAGTAAATTCATTTTAAATTTTTCACTATCTCTTAATGCAACTGGGTATGCTGTAGTGGATTGAGGTTATAAAAGTGTGTATGCATGTGTAACCACTTCCAGGGACAATAAGTATCCACAACAGCAAACCATGAGAAAGATTCAAACATATGCCATTACATGCATGTGTAGGGGCAGGCTTGACTACTTAGCTTTTGAATATGCATGCATAAAGAGTAAGAGAGAGTAAGTCAGTTTAGAAAATGGTTGTATCTGCATGTGAATAGAGACACTGTTTTAACACGTGTTTATAGTACATGCAACTGCTCAGTTCTGCAGCAACAGCAAGAAAGAAAAGGAATGAAAGACGGAAAGATAGAGAGGAAATAAAAGAAACTTACTCTGTTTCATCAGAAACACTAGTAGCTCTGAATCTAGAACATTAATGAATAAAAAAAGTAAATAAATAAAGTTGAAAACAAAACAAAACAGATGAACATAGAACACTAAGCACATACATTTATAAATATAAAATACTGATTATACCCATCAAAATAAAAACTTACCTCATTATATTACAATTACACACACACACACACACACACACATTATATATATATTGGAAATACCTATTTCCAGAAAAGCTGGGACATTTTGTAAAATGCACAGCCTGAGATATTCAATATTACGAACGGTAGATGGTGAAAGAGTTAAATTCTTTGCAATCTTGCATTGAGAAATGTGATTTTTGAATTGCGTGAAATTTGGCATAAAGTGGTGAGGCATGATCCATCTTTGCTTGCAAAGACTGAGTATTTGGTGGATGGTACTATTATTCCCGAACACAATACTCTCATCTAATTCACCTAATCAGTGTGGACTGTTTTAAAACAGTTGGATATTCTATAATCTTTTCTCTTTTATTTTGCCTCTGTCCCAACTTTTTTGGAATGTGCTGCAGCTATCAAAATCATTTACAAATTTAAATTAAGTTGGTCGGTGAAAACATGGGAAATCTTTTCTTTGCACTTTTGTCAGTTAAATAAAGGTTCAAGAGAAATAAAAAAATCACAAATTCTTGATTTTATTGCATTTTACAAAAAACGCAAATGAGGTTTGAGGAAATTAGGTTGTATATACTGTATATATATATACATACACACACACACACACACACACACACACACACACACACACACACACACACACACACACACACACACACACACACACACACACACACACACACACACACACACACAGTATATAAATATTAGCTACTGCCCAATATAATTGTTTTTATTTTTTATTTTTAAAAGCTTAATTTTAGATATAATTTAAAAGGGGTTTGACACTGTGCAGGAAAATTACTCCACTGATCTTTTTTTATGTGTTAATCATCATTTAATTAATCAATATGAAATAAAAATGCAACCTATTTACTTTCTTAGTGTACTTTCCTGATTTTATTGTGCAGGATTACACAGTCAACTTTATTAAAAAATAAAAAATAGCTAGCAAAATATTCACACAGTATCTCAGTATCTGAGGAGCATTTATGTTGACTTTAAAGGTGCCATAAGTGATGTTAGCCATAACTGCATTAGATCACCTGCTCTATCCAAAATGCCACACTCTAATGACTTGTAAGCAAAGCTGAACTCTTTAAATGAGAGTGTCTGTGTTTAAATAAAATATTCCTATAATAAAATCCTTTATAGCACCTTTAAAGGAAACCATTGCACCAGTGAGTGAAGTAAAGAAAAACAATGATAAACTACAGAGATACAGGCATGAGACACTCTTTCCATGCAAAAATACATTTCAGTAAGAGCTCTTTTCAAAAGTAATAAATTGGTCCTGAAAGTGCTTTCTCACATTGGGGGGAGATCATCATCTTCCTGCCAAAGGGGCCGGCGTGAGGGTTGGTCGGGTATAGGGGAGGGGCTTTTGGTAATAGTCTCATCTTTAATAAGACTTTCATGTCCCACCACACCCACAGAGCCCGCCTCCTGCCTGTCCATCATCTGATGACACTTCTTACGCATGTCCTCAGCATCTCTTGGGCTAAGGGTGAAGCTGAGAAAGTTGCCATGGTTACTAAAGTAAAGCAGGGCAGTGAAAGGGAGGCTGAGGCTCTCTGTTCTCTGACTACAAAACAGACCAGCCAGACAAAACTGAGAAAACAAGTGCAAAAAACATTGAACAGAAATTCAAAAGCCAAAAGACCTATTGATACGTATGACGAATGAACATTATATATATATGAGAAAAGCCCCCCAAATGAAAGAAAGAATATGCAATTGTAATTTCCACTCAAAACGCATATTTTTTTGCATTTTTTAAAATCACTTTCTTTGAAAGAATCTCAATAAATGAACAGGATAAAATAGTAAAAATCAAATAAAATTTAAATCAGAGCTATAAATCAAACAACGCCTAGAGACAAGAACGATAGTTTTCCGAATGAACGCCAAACCAGTCACAGATATTAGTAAACGGACAATAGCCACCAAAAATCATTGTTGGACAAGACATCTCTTTTCTGTACTCTGAAAATCAACTGCACACAGCAAGCTCAAACCCACATCTAAAAAATCTGTTAATAATTGAATGGAAATTTAAGCATTTTTCTTTTGCACGGGCACCACAAATGCAACATTCCTTGCACTCATAGACAAACACTTCATTCCCAGGCGGTCCTAACCTGTCCAGAGACGGGGCTGTCTCTTGCTCTCTAGTCTTGAAGAATGACTGCGATCCACTGACAGGGATGGTTTTGTGTTTGACAGAACCAGGTTTGGGCAGAAATGCATTAAAAGTCTGTCCTGCCCCTGCACTGGGCTTCTGATAAGATCCAGTTCTTCGCGCTAACATGTCATCCTTCTCAAAATCTGGCAGATGACCGTCAACCCCACATTCATCATCATCATCATCATCATCATCATCATCATCATCATCATCATCATAACCGCCAGAGCAATCGACGTTAGTTCCAGATGAGCGCACAATGTCAGGGCTCTTTTGGGTCACTGCAGCAACTGGAACAGGTGTCTTTGGTACTTGATCGACTGGTTCATTTCTGTTAAAATAGCATAATGCTGATAACTAACTCACACAATTAAACTTAGTTTGATATAGCAAAAGTGTAAATACTCCACAAAGCACAACTTAAGGGTTAAGCAAACAGGATAAGTTTTTGCCTATTTTATTATTTAATCTAGTGATGCACGATATCGATACCATATCAGTAATTGGCCAACATTCTATTTTTTTTTTATTATCCCATCCGTATTGATCAATATTGGATATTTAATTTGCTGGTCATTTTAATCTATTTTTTATTTATTTAATTAATTTCCCCTATTTTTATATTTAGATTTAGTATTCCCACTTCAAAGTGTAATTTTTAGCAAATCCCAAAATATCAATTTTCCATACTGTACATAATGTTCTTTTTTTAAAATTAATTTGTAGAATTGATTTGAGTTTTTAGTGTTTTATTGTGCAGAATGTTAATATCAGCCATTTATTGGAAATTATTTAGGCTTATCGTATCGCCAGAATTTTAACAGTGCAGTAAATTCTTAACCAAGTATGAGAAAAGCTCAAAGTCATGTTTGGCTTAGCCATAAATAGTGCACTCAAAAGACTGGGAATAAATATTTTCCACCACAGCATGTTAGCATGTTAGACTAATGCATAATGAACAAAGAAAAGTCTGAGATTTCTAGTTAGTTTTGCTTGTCCCACCTCTGTCCAATCTTAGTTCTCTTTGTCTTTATGTTTCTTTCCAGGTACTGGAGGTCTCTGTCTCCACTCATGCCCATCTGGATACTTCCTTTCTGGGCTATGGAAGCCCCTGCAGTGCCTTCTCTCTTGGAACTCGGCTGCGGGAGGAATCTGTTATATGACGTCCCGCTTGCTGGCTTCAGAAATGCTCCTGTTCTACGAGCTAGCATGTCATCCTTTTCTATATCCGGTTGACTCTCCTCTTCTTCGTCCTCTTCATCATCCTCCCTCTCATCTTTAGCTTTCTTATCCAGTTTCTCCTCTAGCACCCTGCGCTCAGAGGAGGTCAAAGGCTGTTTAAGGTCAAACACGGCAGGGTTCGAAGGTTCAGGGGGCATGATGGGAGCAGGTTCAGTGTTTGCATCTCCACTAAGTTAGTTAGTTCATGATGTATGAGACGTGGAAGAAAAAAGAGAAACAATGAGTCAGAAACAGAAAAGGAAAAAAATGAGGGTGAAGGATAGAGATTGCCGATACAGGCAATGAAAGTTGCAGTCCTTTTGGGAACCAAAGCAACTGCATTGCAATTACTCAAAACTACAGAATCACACTATATTACTCTCTTACACAAGCACAAATGCATACTATTTCATCTTTTTTCTTGTTCCTTCACAGTCAGACTCAGATATTTCAGTCCACACCACCACAGTAAGCCATTCACTACTAATTTCTCTCCAAAACAGACCAAAAAAAGCCCAGTTTTAGCATAATTCATGGTTGCTACAGTTGTTAGCATCATGCTAACAGCCTCACTGTAAGCCATTCACAGCTAAATTCTCTTCTAAACAGCCCAAATAAGAGCAGTTTTATCATCATTCAGGGATGCTACAGTTGATAAAATCATACTAACAGCATTAATTTCTCTCCTAAACAGCCCAAATATAAGCATTTTTAAGCATCATTCAGGGGTACTACAGTTGTTAGCATTCTGCTAACAATCTCTCAAGGCACGAGTCCACCAGCTTCATAAATCCCAGTGAGATGAAACCAACATGCCCTTTTAATGCAGCATCACTGCTAAGATTACTACACACATTCACAAACTCCAACATACTCTGAGGGTGAGTATATGCATCCAGATCCTTCGGTAAACATAACTGAGACCAGGCAGTCCTCAACAAGCAGTGTTTGTAATAGTGTGTTGGTATATTTCACATCACTGGACCAACAATTACTGCCCCTGACAAGATTCTAAGATGACAAGGGGTCATATTGTGAAGTAATAACAACGAAACAGGAAATGAATGCTGCGGTCACACTATGTCGTAATTAATTACCATAATTACTAATGACAACCAGGACAATCTACATTCTACTCAGAGCTGTTCACGTCCTCAGACTCTGAACTGTGCGGTTCCATGGCAACACTATTAAATGCCAAAATTAATGTAATTTGAATAATCATTAGACAAAACCATTATGGTTTGTCATTACGCAAATTCATTATTAATAAACTTTATTTAGCAAGACATTAGCTTGCTATTCAACTCTGTGTTAGCGACATTAACATGAATAAAATTGACCAAAAGTGACAGGCATGTATAATTCAGATTGTTCTGAAGCCATTGCCATTTTGAGTGTTTCCTTATGACTCATTTCCTTATTGTGGTCATACGAGTATGAGTCAGAGCTCTCAGAAAGTTCAGTTTTAAAGTTGTAATTACGCGTTCTATGAGGACGTGAGCACTTTTTATAAGTCGGAATCACAGTAATTCTGACATTGCGACTTTAAGAGTTAGTTTACCCAATAATGAAAATTCTGTCATTAATTAATCACCCTTCGTTTCAAGCCCGTAAGACTTTCATTCATCTTCAGAACACAAATGAAGATCTTTTTGATGAAATCTGAGAACTTTCTGTCCCTGCATTGACAGCTACAGAACTATAACTTTCAAGCCCCAGAAAAAGGTAGTAAAGACATCATAAAAGTAATCCATGTGACCCAAGTGGTTTAATCTCAATTTTATAAAGCGTTTGTTTGCACAAAAAAACAGCAACGCAACAACGTCTGCTCTCGCATCAACACAACACATATGCGTCATTATGCTCTTATGACATTATGCGTAAAGTGGTAAATTATGTTTTTTGCGCAAACAAAGCACTTGCGTCGCTTCATAAAATTGAAGTTAAACGACTTGGGTCACATGGATTACTTTTATTCCTGGGGCTTGAAAGGGGTATAGTGGTGTAGTTGCAGAGCTGCCAATGGAGGGACAGAAAGTTCTCAGATTTCATCAAAAAGATCTTAATTTGTGTCTTACAGGTTTGGAACGACATGAGGGTGAGTAATTAATGACACAATTTCATTTTTGGGAGAAGTAACCAAAGGCACAGCAGCAACAAAAAAAAAAGAAAGAAAAAAAAGAAAGAAATTTGTCTACCTCTTTTGGAATTCATTATTTCTAATAGAGTGCCAAATAGTCATTAGAAGCTATATTAACTGTTCTAATTTAAAAAAAAAAACGTTTGAACCTCATAAACAAAAATAATGCTAAAAAAAAACATAACGTGGCCCCTTTATGAGTGGGCCCCTTTTTGGTCTGTTGTGCATGAATGTGCATGTATTTATGCATCTATCCTTCTCTCCTGTCTTTCTTTCTCTCCCTACCTGCCCACCGCTCTCTTTGTCAGTCTGGAGCCCAGCCCTATGGTGGGCACAGCAACAGTTGCCATCGAGAGGAGATACCGAAGCTTCTCTGCCTCGTCCCCCTGTCCCTCTTCCCTTTCCTCATCTTCCTCCTCTTTCCAGGAAGTATTCTCCATCTCTGTCACACCCCCAAATGTCACAAAACGCCGCCGTTCACCGGAGGAACGTTCCTGGCAACCGGCCAGGTCGTTCTTGGCAACCTTCGTCTTGGAGGAGACAGAGAGGCAGCCTTTCTCAAGACACGTCTGACACAGAGGGACAATAGGGTCATCGCTGTTCACACGCACACACATACATGAGACATGTGAGTAAAGAAGAGAAAGAGAGAAGAATTAGAGAAGCAGAGGGAATTATGAACACTAAAACTAATGAAGAAAGACCACGTCAGTCTGACAGTCAAGTCAATGATATAGAGAGGATTGTCATGGATGTCTGGATGGGAATCTGTGTGATATCCAAATAAACCCATTGATGCTGATGCAAGCATGGCCTTTGGACTCATTTAAAGGGAAATTACTATACTCAAGGAATGATGCACAGCCTTGGCTCTTGTACAACAGTTTAGTATGTGGTCTTACACTCACATGCTCCCCTCCCTCTTTCTCTGTAAGCATCTCTTGGTTTCAATAGTTGCCTTGGTGACGTCTGTTTGCTTGAGAGGGGCTTCCCTCTGCAAACAGAATTTGGAGTCTCACAAAGACCCACTTCAACAAACATCTCCACAACAGCGTAACAAGACACAGAGCCCTCTTACGCAGCACTCACGCCAATGGCAGACAGAGCTTTTTGGCTCTAATCCGTGACTGATTTAAAAATATTCTAGGCTCGCACTGCATCTTAACCAGCCGCAATACTTTTTCAGCGACAAGTGATTTGTCTGTCTACACACTGACAGCAAAAATGTGTGATGGCACACAATGACAGCCAATCAGAAGATATTTGATGACCATACACTTCTTAAAATATAAAAGCAGCAACATATTTGTATGCAGACTCATTTATACTGCATGTGGGAAATATTACGTGTGATATTAATAAGATAACATTATTGACTTTATTTGTCCTTGTACTAAAGCCTCAATAAATTAATAAAATATTATGTGGAAAATATTTACTTAGATACTAAGAACTTGACAGAGTATGCTTTTTATACATCACAATATAACTTAAACATCCATTCAAAAGTTTGGGTTCAGAAATCATTCTAATATGCTGATTTGGTCCTCAAGATTTTTTTTTATTATAATCAGTGTTGAAAACAGTTGTGCTGCTTATTTTTGTGGAAACTGTGAGGCATTTTTTCATTTTTTTAGGATACTTTGATGAATCGAAAGTTCAAAAGAACATTTTTTTTAAAATAGAAATATTTTGTACATGCATGTCACTTTGGAAAATTTTATTTGTCCTTGCTGAATAATGACAAAAAAAAAATCCCCAAAAAATCATACAGACCCGAAACTTTTGAACGGTAGTGTATTTTGAATAGCATTTTTCTCTTACAACTAGTGAGCAAGTTAAGGGCAATGATACAGTGGGGAAAAACATATGTTCTGCAAAAAAGGAATAATAAAATAATATAATTTACATGAAAACGATTATATTGCCTGTTCCTTTATTGCACCATGTCTGGTGAGGACACAGTGCTATAGACACAAGCTGGAAAAAACCCAATAAGGCTATTTGCTTGGATAAGTGACTGAATATCAGAAACTGGAGTGGTGTCATCTGTTTTATGTGTGAAAAAACACAATAAAACATACAATTAGAGTATAAGAGTTTCAGCCGTGTGAAACTTCTAAAAGGTCTTGAAGTGTGTTGTTGAGTCATGTTAGGTCAGGGGTCAGACGTAAAAGTCACATGTCAGGCACCTGCTGTCTGTATTCATCTTGAGCCTCTGCCATTTCTCCAGGTCTGACTGAGTGATGGTTGTTTGAGCCAATGACTGCCAGGGGTCTCTCTGTGGGACGGACCCACTTTGGGCCCGCCTTCTGGCCAGGTCATCTGTCTTTACATCAGGCATCACCACCCACCCCACTTTCTCTCTGACTCTCCCTTCCTCATTCTCCTGCTCACTCCCACTTTCTTTCTCAGGGGTCAGGAAGGGGTTGTCCTTGCGAGTTATGATTGACACTTCAGCAGGGGTGGAGTCAGACTCACTGTAAATCAGTATGAAGGATAAACTGAGCTTAGCAAGAGGACTGACCAGAATACTCAGAGAGAGAGAGAGAGAGAGAGAATGGATATATGGGTCCAGAATTAACTTTTTGCCACACATGCAAATACAGTAGCAAGTAAATTAAAATATTTTCTTTACATTGGATATAAATATTAAAATATTAACATTTAAATACATTGTTACCAGAATTTTTAAATTTTCTATTTATTCCTTTTTTAACAAAATATTTCTTTGCTCCAATAACAACGCGATTATTTAGTTTTTTTTTCCTTTCTTGCATACTTTCAGTCACTTCCAACATCATATTGAACACAGTCTTCATGTAAAATGTAAACCATGTATAAGGTTACAGTTCCTAATGAAGTTACCAGCAAAATAACCAGTAACCCCAGTTTATTTACTCAAGGGGCTCATCAAGTGTTCATTTTGACACTGTGGTCAATGTATGAAAAGCAGAAAAATGTATGAGAAAGTGTGTGTGTTTGTTTCGAGGCACCTGCTCTCTGTATTCATCTTGAGTCTCTGCCATGTTTCCAGGTCTGATTGAGTGATGGAAGTCTGGACCAATGACTGATGAGGATCTTTGGGAGGGCGTGGCCTTCCCTCAGTCCGCCTCCTTGCTAGATCATCTTTGTGTGGGTTTGGGACAACTATCTTCCCTTCTACCTCTTTCATATCTTCCTCATCCCCTTCTTTTGCCCTTTCTTTTTCAAGATTCAGGAAAGGATTGTCCTTACGAGTAATGATTGGTATCTCAGGGGGGGCGGAGTCAGCCTGACTGTGGTAGAAATGTAACATTATAAGATGTACAAGAAAATTGATGCTTAAATCCCACAGAACACAGAAACCATACCAATAATGACATCCAGAATGATCATAGTCAGTTAGCTATTATAATTGCACACACCTAAGTACTATACAAAATGCATAATACCACATGTTTGGTATATAGGGTGAAACTCTGTAATCATAAAATATATTAGAGCTACATAACGAATAGAACAACACCACACTACAAAAGGAAAAGTAGTGAAGACAAACTTGTCGGCTTGACAAAGTCTCACTTGATAGTTTAAAACTAACGGTAAGTTTGAAGGTTATGTAGGCCTTTTGTTCTTTAAATATTTGGGCAGTCTGAAGACAGAAGTTTAATTTTATATCAGCCTTGTATACTTTGAAAATGTTGATATTTTGAAGAGAGATTTGAAGTTTGAAGAGCTATAAGCCATTTTAGGTTGTTGCCCAAATGCATGTTTGTTATTTACAGCAATAATCAGACATTAATTCGATCTCAAACCGATTAATTAGCAGAAGTTATACTTCACCACCTGCATGACAGCATTAACAATGTTTGTTGTTGAACCAACATGGTTCGAACGACGGATCTGCGACAAAGTTACTATTGGTTACATGCAGGAAACAGTCGTGAATAGCTAGTTAATTTCTCCAAAGATGCATCGTACTATGGTAGTTAAGCAGCAAGTTACACCGTTGTACAGGAAACTGAAACGCATCCCTGACTGGTTGTCCCCATGAAATCAAAATGGAAGTTATGTGTGTATCTACTAGCTTTACTGTATCTATAAGGTAGTGAGCTCCAAAACAATGACAAAATTTGCATTTAGAAGATTTAAGCATTTAAAACCTACAGTCTCTCACTTCCGCCAATATTGATGCACTTCAGCTTCTCATCAGATTTTCTGTCCAATCAAACGCTCTCTAGAATATAAAGGGTCCCGCCCCCTACATTATAAAAGAGACGCTGATGCTGCAACTGAAATCAGTCACATTTAATATTTTCTACATGGTGAATGGCACATAGTGCACTAGGGGACTGGGAATGATTCAGACAGTGTAAATATGCTTTCCATTGGGGCAAAATAAATCTGGTTTCACGTAAGTGTCAAGCGAACCGACGCAGCGCGCACACAGTCTGCTCCGGTCCAGAGACACAATAACAGAGCAATCATATGCACCAGTCGGCACATACCAGAAAACATATCGAACCCATTTGAATTCTGCACAGAATGCTATATTTTAAAGCGATATGGAGGAGAATAGGAGGATAAACGGTTAGAGATTAGGAGGAAACCGCAGCTTTACCAAGCTCAACAGTTCTGGCCGAACAGTGATATAAAATAAATGTTATTGGCTATTCTAAAAAAGGGGAGGGGCTGTTTGATATGTCCCACCCAAGCGGCAACCTTCCGATCTCTCTCTTAAAACCAACACGAAAGTGACTTAAACTGTAATTCGTCGACTGGCCGCTAGAGACAGGCTGCAAAAAAGAGTCAATCCCATATACTCCTAAAATGCCCAACTTTACAGCAGAAAAAAATGTTTACACAGCCTGGTGCAAAAATTGGTTTTGGTCTATATAGCTAATTCTGCCCTTCATGACAACTGTGAGGTGGGTGAATTTTCATCCCGTTTAAATTTTATTAAGCCTTAAAGTGCTGCATAATCAAGGGCGTGGCCACTTGAGTGACAGGTGGATTGCCGCTGCTATCACTACTAGCCGTTTGTCTGCTGTCTGTTAGCCGCCACGTCAACTCAGCTAGTCTCGCCCTTTTGCCCATTTTCGTTTATCCAGGAGTGACGCGCAGTGACAAGCTACCAAGATGGCGACAGCCGTTTCCGCCCACTTTGGGCTTCAAAAATGCTCTTCAGAAACCTACAGGTGACATCACGGACACTATTTTTTTACAGTCTATGGTCCCACCCTGTCTTCCTGTTTCAGTGAAAATTACGTCAACACATTGAATAATGCTGCACGTTTCAAGGCACTTCAGTGGGCCTTTAAGGCCTTGCTATGGGGTAGTTATGTGGTTACTAGGGTGTTCTAAGTGGTTGCTAGTCAGTTGCTGAGGTGTTCAGGTTGGTAGGGCATTGGGGGAAAGCGGGGAAAAGATTTTCCTGCACTAATTTTTGATCATGCACTAGGAGAATTTCAATCAGATAGAGAAGATAAAATAAGTCAGAACAGACTAAGGACTGTGCAGAGTTTAGTGAATGTAACTTAAAAGCTCTATGAGAAAAAGAGTTTGAAAAAACCCTGACTCAAAGCAGTGTGCAATGGCATTGTGTTGGATTTGCCAAGCCAACATAACTAGTCCCTGAGCATATGACCCCATCACTCTCAGTCACAAGCACACCTCTTTTTCTCCAGTTCCATCTTCTCCATTCTCTCCAACACAGCATGCTGGGATGCCAGCCTAATTCCCTCCCATTTCTCTCGGTCCTTCCAACTACAAGAGCCTGGCAGGAAGTTATGGGCAACACTCGGTTTGAATTGATTCATGCGGGCTCTGCGAGAAGCAAGATCATCCTTTTGGACATCTGGAACCTTCTGCTCTGCCTCTGCATCTTCATCTTCCTCATTCGAGTCCCACTGATGTGGGGCCGCAGCCCGCATGAAGTCATTGTCACGCCGAAGAATGATGTCAGGTGAAGGTGGTTTAGCTTTATTGTCCTCCACAGGATTCTCGATTGGACTGAGGAGAAAATTCGCCATGACAACATTTGAAAATATTTTAGAAAAATAGAGTGCAAAAGTGCATCCACTATTCAGTGGCCTTGGTTCCAGAGGTATTTTTCCCATTCATTTTCCCCATATAAAACATAACGACATAATCAAATAAAAAATTTGAAATTTAAAACTATAGATTTAAAGATGTTGATTATATATAGAAACAATATATTCTACATTTATTGCAAAATATGCATATTATGGATATATTTAATGAGTTTGAGAGTGTAAGTCATTCGTGGTGCTTCAAGGGAGTCGGTGGGCGCTTAAGAGTTCTTTTAACATGATTTGCTGGTTGTGATTATTCCATTTCCCTGCAGAATCATGGTGGCTAATGTCGTTTTTCACCAGGAATTCCACTGTTGAACATGCAGACTGATTGCTCCAACAAAAGCATTTACCATCGATTAACAACCTTGTAGCACACAAGTGGGTCTATCGTTAAAAAGAAATTCCCCTATTGAAAAAATGAATGGGACATAACTTGACTAACCAACTTTTGCACTCGATAACGTTGAGATGTTAGTGCTTCCATATCAGGAGTTGCAGACATCAGCCCTTTAAAATAAGTCATATTAGCATAACTAGCATTATCTGCTCAACCCAATAAAAAAACAACCAATACACACACACGCACACTTCATTACAACCTAGCATAAACAGATCCAGACTAGTCAAAGGGTCACATCCAATTAATTCACAAGCTAACAGAACAAGCCAGCATAACTTTGTGCTACACAACATTAGCCAAGCTAAAAAGGTTAAAGCCAATTGACAACTGTGTCACTCCATGCTATAATGTAGCACAAATAAATCGGCAGCACAAATCGAAAGCAAAAGTACATAGTGTCACTCCCCACACAGCAACCTAAGTTACATGACAAACTCATGGCTTTGAACACACAAGTTTTGTGGTTACCACCAGCACCAATTTTTAACAACTAGGTCCCACACACAACTAGTTAGCCGTTTTAGTCGCTGCATACACATGCCGAAAGATCTCATTTTGACCGCTGACCTGTTATATCGCACAGAGGCGGGTAATACTTTAATTCCCGACTTTTCAAGCTTCCTTATTTTCTTAAGCTCCGCCTCCTCACGCTCTGCCCCTTTCTCATCAGCCCAGGTGAAATTTTTCTTCAATGCAAGGCTTCGAGACACGCCAGACCCCTCTTTTACCACTTCTACGCATTCTTGTCTGTGGGGAGCAATGGGGAATTTCACAGCTCTCACAAACACACATGTGGATAAAACAGGATGAATCAAACAAACTCTGACACATTAAACAGATGATGCTTGTGTGCGGATTTTTGTGCAGCCAGAAGAGGGATTTCCAGCCAATTCCCTGAGAAATCAAACAAACCAAACACTTACTGTCTATCACAGCGGCTGTGATTACCTGAGAGGTCTTTCTCCGCCTACAGGAGATGTTGAGTTGCTTGGACTCCTCCTGTCTTCCTCTCTCTCGCTCCTCCTCTTCCTCAGGGGGGCGGGAAGGTAGTTGGTCTGGTTGCTCTTGTTCGGCAGATACTGGTTGAAGGGTAGAGCAGCACGAGGCTCTTTGTAGGACACACGACGGGCAGACATGTCATCCTTACGCATGTCTGGCAACTTCCTTAAACCACCGTCACCTTCAGAGTCTGTGAGAAGGACGTATTGAAAGAAAGTGCCATTTGGTATTAGTTTTTCATATTTATATGGCTTTTCAGAACAAACTACTAGAGAGATAGAACCAGCATTCATATTTCAACACATACATTGCATATGAGGTGAGATGTCACCATCTGACCATCATCCAGATCAGGGCCAACATTAATGAAAGGCTCAGTGCATGTATTTGAGTGCAAATATTTACAAGCTTAAACATCTTACACCATATTTGCCATATTGAATGAGTTTATTTTATGTCATTTTCACGAACATCGACATGCCAAGAAGCTTCTTGCTGTAATACTTCCACAGTCACGCAGCCTGTCTTATTTAGTTATGAGATATGAAGTAAAATACTTTAATAAATAAATAAATAAACAAAATACTTAAAACAAATAAAGTTATTTTTATAAAACAAATAAATATTTTTTCACCGTAATATTAATTAAACTTGTAACTTGTAACAAAAATCAAACAATCAGAATAACAGTGCTGGTTTATCTTTAAACTGAAAATCACACACGTTGGGTTTTCATGATTTATTCCATAGACATAATGATTTTTATACTGTAGAAATTGTATATTCTATCTCCTAACTCTAACTCTAACCCTACCCCTAAACCCATCACAGAAAACTTTCTGTATTTTTACATTTTTTTCAAAACACATCACTTAGCATGCTTTATAAGTTGTTTTCCTTATAAGGGACCAATAAATGTCCCCACAAGGTCAAGGATTTCGCCATGTTTGTGGGGACCGTAACGTAGGGTATTTTGTCCCCGTAACGTAGGGTATACCTGAACCACACACACAAACACACACACAAATTAAATTTATAGTTTAGAAGTTTCTTGGGCTTTTATGTTCTTTCAGTCCCTGTTTTCCCTGTTGTCCATGTCTGGATTCACTAATAAGATGCAGTTCATGTGAACCCTCTCACACACTCAGCACACAGATGAGTGTGTGAATGTCTGTCCAGCACAACAGCTGCACTCTCACACCCACACTGCACATATGTAGAAATGTATGACTCTTTTCTTTGAATCCAGAGTTTTTACCCTCAGCCTCTCTTGCATGAATGTTTGGACGTGGACATTGAATTGCTGCTCAACAAACATGTCTTATTACTATCAATGTTGAAAACAGTTGTACAATGAATGATATATCATTTATACATTTTTCAGGACTTCTTGAGAAATAGCAAGCACAAAAGAACAGTATATAACATTTTTGAACATTTATCTTTCCCATGAATTGCAAGACGTATTTATATTACAATGTTGTCTACTTTTGCATCACCACCTAAATCATTGTGAATGTATCATTACTGCTGAAAATATTGCCTAGCATAATCTAATCAAATATAAATAAAAGATAAAGTCATACCATCACTGTTGCAGCGGATAACTGTGTCTGGAGAGGGTGTGTTCTGCGATCGAGAGCCAAATGAGTCGAGACTGTCGAACGAATCATCTCGGCCGTGCCTCGGAGGAGACAGCGAATCAGAGCGCTCCGATTCCCAGCTGTCAATGTAACCGCTGTCCCGTATACTGCGCTTAGGGGAGTCCAACTCTTCGTTTGCACACTCCTGCGCACAAACATAAAAAATATAGAGAACGAAAAACATTATAGCATATATTTAATTAATCAGGCTGTTTCACAGGTTTAGTGTTCTTGACTGGATTTAATTTACCTTTCGCATCATGGAAAGGAGCCCCTCAAACTCTTTCAGGTCGAGTGTGGGGCCGTTATACGTTGCACAGCTGTTAGCAGCTTTACCAAGCCAGTATATGGTTATGAGCACCTAATCATTCAAAAAACACAGAGAAGAATAACATTCAATAAAATGTAAATTCAACAACAAAAATTCACATGTAAAGATTAAGCAAACAGTTCAGTGTACTTACATTCTTCAGCTTTCTACTGCAGTCAGAGCCTCTACAGCAGAAAAAGAGAGAGAAAATAACATAAGACGACTGTCAGTCCTTTCAAGCTATAAATGAGCCACATCAAAGTGCCTTTAAGGCAAGTCAGTGACTCACACCATGGCTATCTAGGCTACATCAGACAGCTGTTTGCTATATGAATGAAACCATAGTTTTGGCCTGATGTCATGATATACATTACCGTACAAAAGATTTTTTAATGTTTCTGAAAGACATCTCTTATGCTCACCAAGGCTGCATTTATTTGCTCAAAAAAACACTAATATTGAGAATTTTTTTTCTTTTCTATTTTAATATATTTTAAAAAGTCATTTATTCCTGAATTTTCAGCATCATTACTCCAGTCTTCAGTGTCACATGATCTTTCAGAAATCATTCTGATATGCTGCTTTGGTGCTCAATAAACATTTATTATTATTATCAATGTTGAAATCAATTGTGCTACTTAATATTTCCAAAAGGAAAGCGTGATGGTTTTTTTCCAGAATGCTTTGATAAATAGAAAGTATTATTTATTTGAAATAGATTTTTTTTCTAACAATCTAAAAGTCATTGCCATTCTAAAAATGTCACTTTTGCACATTTTAATGAATCCTTGCTGAGTAAAAAAAAAAAATTCTTAAAAAAACCCATCTTGATTCCTTTGAACAGACGTATAAAATCAGCTCTCTTATCTACTTGAATAGGGATTAACTAAAATCTCCAAAATCTGTTGGCTAAGCTTATGTTTCAATAGCTTCTTTAGCTAAACCCTTTTTTTTTTTATTGGTTAGCTAATATGAATATATTACGTTCTAGAGCAAAAAGATGAGCTGCTGTGAATGACTGAAATTTAAGATGTTCTATCTGCCAAACTGATTATGATTTATCTAATTAATTTTTCTGCACATAATCAGTTTCCTCTTCCTTATACCGTCTATGGTCACACAGGCACACACATACGTTAAGTTTGCACGTATCGATGTATCTTGCAGGTCTCCGGGATCGAACAGCTGTGATCCCTTCAATCCCAGCTCTTCACATCCTCTCAGAAACATGGTCAGATTATCCTGATCAGAGAAAAGACACATATTATGCAATTACAGGCAAAACCTCACAGTTTGTGTGTGTCTGTATGTGTGTGTGTGTGTGTGTGTGTGTGTGTGTGTGTGTGTGTGTGTGTGTGTGTGTGTGTGTGTGTGTGTGTGTGTGTGTGTGTGTGTGTGTGTGTGTGTGTGAGTGAGTGAGTGAGTGAGTGAGTGAGTGAGTGAGTGAGTGAGTGAGTGAGTGTGAGAGAGAGAGAACAATGTGTGTGTGTGTGTGTGTGTGTGTGTGTGTGTGTGTGTGTGTGAGTGAGTGAGTGAGTGAGTGAGTGAGTGAGTGAGTGAGTGAGTGAGTGAGTGAGTGAGTGAGTGAGTGAGAGAGAGAGAGAGAGAGAGAGAGAACAAGCACCAGAAGATGTGTAAATGTGTTTTAAGAAATCTTACAAAGTGACACTTACAATAATATACCATGGTAATACCAAAATAAACTTCAGTTAATTATGTATGTATTTATCTGATATCTTGATGGGGTAAATGTAACAGGGATGTTCAAAGGGGGTGGCCCGGTTTCTTGAGCCAATGCCCCTCTACTCTTATCAGCTGAAGTGCCCCTCTCGGCCAGTTTGGGCCACTGCCCCTAAAAATGTCTGTGCACGTCCCTGAAATGTAAAATAACTGCCACAGACACAGACAGAGACATATTTGTTCTGAGACAGCAGTGCAGAGACTGGCCTGACACAAATAGGCACATACAAAAGAACACAAACAAACGAATGAGCAAACAAACACACAATAACCGCACTCACCAGTCCTGCAATGGGAGTTGGGAGTCTGTTGATCTTTTTCACAAGCCCTGGTTTGATTGAACTCAGCAACCTAATGAGTCACATAACAAGAGAAAGAGAGAAATAACATTAGAGAACAATAATATGTGGGTTGAATCATACCATCATCAAAATGACTCTTGATACTGCAAAAAAATGTCTTTTTTAGACATTATGACTATATAGTTTGGACCATACACCAATTTTTTTAATAATTGTTTTAAATTTGATGCTTATGCAAACATGTTTATGTTTATTTTGTATATACACTCGCATATTAATTAATTTGCAGTGCCTGCATTTAGTTAAATAATAAATAAAGAAATAAAAATAAATCAATGACATAAAAAAAAAAAGTAACTACAGAAATGACAAGTTCCACTAAATATTTAAAATTTACATATAAAGTATGCGTGTAAAACTCACTCGCAGAGCAGAATGCCGTTCTCCAGCCCACTTCTGAAATCCTTATCACCAAAACTTCTTCCTGTCACTGCCTGTCAAGCAGACAAAGAGCAAAATCATCATCATCAGTGAAAACTTAATGAACAATGTTTTAATGTAGACGTAAGAGCGTGCTAATGTGACAGGAGCAGTTTGAACATAGTCAAATGAATTGTCCACTGTCACTGTCCTCTTCTAAATCTATAGTTAGAGTATAATTTAGGTCTAAATGCTAACCAAAAAGATGCTTTCTATTTCTTTAGGAAGGAACGATAGTATCCCAAAGTTTAAATCTTCATGTCTTAATATATGTTATGATATTGCCATTTTATTGTGTGTGTGTGTGTGTGTTCACACACCCATAGCTCGTTACAAAGAACAACAGCTGCTTTTTGCCAGAGAAGCATATCTGGTAGTTATTAGGGCAATTCCTGACACATTCTATCTAGATGCACAACGTGTGTTTAGATCGGTCAGAGTGTATAAATATGTATGTATGTGTATTTTTTTCTGTGTGTGAGTGATTATATAAACTGTGTGTGGAGTATGTGTGCATTTAATGAGCACAAGTAAACTACTAAACTAGATAACCTGTCCTTAGCACATTCACACACACCAAACGTGTGTATGTAAAAAGAGAGAGAAAAAGAACATTAATTTGCTCTATATTGCCAAGAGGCCAAGTACATGACCAAGTAGTTGAGATTAGTAAAGATTATTTTCAATGATGCAAAGCACGTTGGAATGAAAGCAAAAACCTGCAAGCACACACACAATTACCCATAAACCTGTTAGCCCCTAAACCTTTACACAGTTTCTCTCGGAGCAGGAAACAGCTGACCTGTAAATCAGTACGAGGTCACTCATTGTCCATTGTCCTTCAGCTGCTAAGAAGGGAACCCACAGCGTCAAACAGGACTATTAACATGAACACTGTACTTCTCCTCTGAATTACCCAATATCTGTTAACCTGATGCATCACTCCTCACATTCATTCCTTTCTCTCTCTCTCTCTACTCTCTTCATTCATTCCAAATAGTATTATACATTAATATGTTCCATATTATTAGATCATGACTAAACTAAAAGTTGATTATGATTTTCATTATGAAGATAATGACATTATGATAGGATGATGAAGCTGAGGTAATGAGGAGAACCCCAGATGCTATTATTCCTTAAAGGGGTGGTGGATTATGATTTCACTTTATTAAAGGGGAACTTGGCAACTCTAGTCATTTCTTCGCTGATTTTCACTTTTGTTGTCGCATGTTTTCTCATCGAGCTCCCCCTACAGCTGTGCGGCGTATATTTTCACAACACTGTCATAAAAAAAAACTCACTTGCGGCGCCCTCCTCCAGCTTTCTGCCGCTGCTCATGTGCATTTGTTATTATCGGAGCCGGCCAACTTTATCGTGTGGAGCTATGTCTACCGAGTGGGTACATCATACACAGTATAATATAATTATGTTGAATTGCCATAAAGCAGTTTGTGTTTCTCGCTCGTTCTCGCTTCTCACGAGACTTCCTATTTCCAACTTACCAGGACGTTAGTCCCTATGTTGCAAGGTTGGTTTTCCGCCTGGGGACGCTGGGGGGAGCGGGGAAAGTCACCATTCTCTCCAGAACATGTTATTGAACCATTCAAATGATTTCTAAATGGTTTTATTAAGTTGAAATAGTTGCCAAGCGCCCCTTTAAAGCTGCAGTCCGCAGTTTTTCCTCTTTGTCGCCATCTCTGTTTGAAATCTGCAATTGCAGTCATTGGCGGAATTATCAACTTTACGTGAGTTGTACTTCGACACGGCACAGCGCGGATGAACACAATGTTTGAGGAGACTGTGCAGCTGTCAGTCATCGCACCGGTGTCGATACTGTCATTCAGAATCACAGATTATTCTTTTTGGAAGAATGACCAACATAATAATTTTCACCGGAAAATGTCATCTGAACAAGTAAGACACATCCACTTTTGTTCTGGTTCTGACATTGCAGTAAATCGCGCTGATTAAATCTAAAAATCGCTTATCACGCAAAACCGTGCAAATTATATTTTGTTCTCAAATTGTTAATGTTAACAACGTCAGCATTGCGTGACTACATGTAATGTCCTTCCGATATGTATCCTTGTTTTCGCATGGGTCCGGTTGCAGTCTCTTTTTTTCTGTAGCCACTCCGAAGTCTAAACAAAGTCTTTTGCATTTTACAGCGGGTGAATCTCTAGTTGTCACTGGTGAGTTTAATTATATCAAGTGCTGTGAGAAAAGGCTATAAATCTCCACCTCCAACATCCTCACATGCAATATAGCCTACTAGCCGAGACTCCTTCTTTATGTGTACAGATGTGACGTCATGACGCAAAGACATGCTCGAATCTCCCGCGGAAATCCACCAGTACCACTGGAATTAAAAACATTATTACAAGCTTACCGCTTTGAATCGAGCTAAGGCAAGCAGATAGTTTTGAACAGTGGCTGGTTATGTATTTTGTAAAATATGTATTTTGGATAATTTTTAACCCCAAAAAAGCTACAGACTGCAGCTTTAACTTTAGTTAGTGTGTAATGTTGCTGTTTGAGCATAAACAACATCTGCAAAGTTACAACGCTCAAAGTTCAAAGCAAAGGGAGATATTTACTTTTAAATAAATCGTTTTTTTTAAGGACTACAACAAACGGCTGGAAGGGACTACACGACATTCCTCCCGGGTTGGTGACACCACTAACCCTAAAATTTACATAAACCCCGCCCCCGGAACGCGATTTATAGATTATCATGACAGAATATGCTAATCAATGACTAGAAGATAACTACACATAAGCTACATAAATTCATCAACTAACCATTCAGAAATGTCCTGTTGCATTCTACATCATTCATCATTGTCTGACTCCGGTTTGAACATAAAAGGCAAAAAGTTGTTGAAATTTTCAGTGCATGTGTCAGGTAAAAGGACACTCTTCTTGAAAGGGAGCAGCAGCTCATTTGCATTTAAAGGGACAGACAAAAACGGTGCGTTTTTGCTCACCCTCAAAAAGTGACAATTTTAACATGCTATATAAAAATATCTGTGGGGTATTTTGAGGTAAAACTTCACAAACACACTGTGGGGACATCTAAGACTTATTTTACATCTTGTGAAAAGGGCATTATGGTCACCCCTTTAATACCATCAGAATTGACCAAACCTTGTGCTGTTCCCGACACATGTTACTCTGCATGCTTTCAAAGTTTATTTTTAGCAGATTCCAAATCATTCCATTCAGATCATAAAGTCGGCATAAAACGGAAGCTGCAATTTTTTTTTTTTCCCTATTATGACGTATTTCTGAGTGAAACGGCTTCTCGAACAAGAAAAAATTTAGGCCGGGACATCATTCTATCCATCTGGAATTGATTGGATCAATTCTGGATTGCTATTGAAGTGATCTCATGTGAGAAAAATACGTCATCAAGGAAGAGAAGAGTTGTTGCAAGAGGGAGGTGAAGTTTTGATTAAAGATTACGAGGGCACATGAATAAAGGCTTTTACTGCAAAAATACTGCAATATTCTATAAAAATAAGAATTGTCCGTTTTGATTTTTAGCATAGATATTTTGCTTTGCAAAGAGGCTGTTATTTACGGATAAGGTAAAAAATGATATTAAGCTTAACAGCAACGCTATAGTCTGTTGCTCATTTCACATGGGAAAGAGGCATTTTTAAAAGAGCCCATTTAATTTAAAAGGTCAGCGAGAGAGTGGAAAAGGTTCACGAAAAAAATAAAATATGCACAAAATGGCACAAAGATTTAATCTAAAAAACTGTATTTTAAAAAATCAAGAAATTACCCCAAAATTGTTATTGTATTTGTCATAAGCATTTAATTAGACTACATTAATATCATAAACATGTCCTTTATGTTCCTCAATAAAATGTAACTTTTTCTGTAGTTAAATGAAAACCATGTCTTCTGATGGTTTTCTGTGAATGTTTTGTTGGTTTATTTGTGTAGCTGTTGCTAGCTGTGCTAAGGGCTAATGATACTAGCAATGAAATATGGGTCACTGAATTACCCAACAACACACATGCTGTGTCTGAAATTACTCACTCGGTCACTCATTCACCTCCTATATATCAAATGCCTTATTGCTCACTAAAGGGAAAGAGTGAATGAAAATGAGCGACTTAATTCAGACAATGAATAGGGCTCTGAAGCTGTCACACATACTGGGGTCAGTTAGATTTTTCTGAAAAATTAAGCATTTTTTAACTAATTAAATTAATACTTTAATTCAGCAAAGATGCATTACAATTGATCAATTGATCAGTGACAATACAGACATTTATAATGTTACAAAATTCCTGTTTATTTAAACATTCAATGTGTCAGAGTCTTAAAAATATGTTTCAGTTTTCATAAAAACAGTAAGCAGAATAACTGAAAACTGATTGCTTAAAACGCAGCTTTGCATCACAGAAATAAATAACATTTTAAAATATATTAAAACAGAAAACAGTTATAATAATTGTAATAATATTTCACAATATCACTGTTTTTACGGTATTTTTGATGAAAATAAAAGTAGCCTTGGTGTGTGTAAGAGAGTTCTTTCAAAAGCATTGCAAAATCTTACCGATTCAGAATGTTTGAACAGTATATACCAAAGTTCACGCAGTTAAAGTGAATTATATAGCAAATTAAATCTTCTCTAAAAATTCAGACAACACTAAAAAACAGAAGTGCAACGGTAGTGCATTATAGATTCAGGACACAGACACACAAACCAATTTTCACACATGCAGACAGACATCTCACAATCACACACAGATCTTTGAGAAATCCTCAGCAGCAGCTGTCTTTAACTGTCAGAAAGACTCACTCATTTTCTGTCTTATGTCTTTACTCTCTTCATTACACACACACACACACACACACACACACACACACACACACACACACACACAGAGTCTGGTTTGCTATCTTTGTGGGGACTCTCCATAGGCGTAATGGTTTTTATACTGTCCAAACTATATATTCTGTCTAACCCGACCCCTAAACCTGCATCACA